GTCAGGGGATGAGGAACCAGACTCCTGGACAGAAAGAAGATGGGAAGGGGAATCGGATCGGGGCAGGCGGGGAGGGGGAGCTTCTAACTCGTTCTCCATCTAAATCTAGACCCAGGGTGGAGGTGGGTGGAGAGGGAAGGCCCGTAGAGGTAAAGCTTCCCACTGCTCTTCTTCTCAGTGAGGCCAGGATGAGAAGGAAAAGGGCTGGAATGACAGAGCTGGATGTTCAACATCCGGAAGAGTTTCCCCTGAGACAACAGACAACCCAGGATCCCCCTCACTGTCTCCCAAACACTCTCCCTTCGCCATGGTCACCAGAAGGACCTGCGACCCTTCTTGAAGGTGCAGCTGAGGTCTGAGGCCAGAGAGATGTACATCCATTCCTAACATGCACTACATCCTAAAGATGCGCCCACCTCATACAATCATTCTTCAATTTTTATACCCCTCTGGCCGAGACCTCACCACTCCCAGTCTAGATTCCTGGGGCTTCTGCCCCTCTAGAGACATCCTTTACAAGCCAGGGAACTCTTTCTCGAAAACACATTTCATTACATTTCCCTTCTCGAGCGTTTGGGGTCAGACAGCCCCTAAGTGAAGCTGTTGGCAAACGGAGAGGTTCTCTTCTCTTCCCATGTCCCATGAAAGGAAACTGAGTCTCAATCACATCTACCTGACTGAATTGGAGTGAGGATTAAGTGAGAGAACACACTTAAAGCACACATGGTAGTCCCACTAATAATAACTCATCTAATATTCTTATTTTAAAGGTCTTCTACGTGTCAGTCACTGTTCCAAGTAATTTGTATGTATTAGGTCAATTCTCACAACAACACTTTGCTCTGGTTATCGTAATTAGCCCCATTTTGCAGATTGGGAAACTACAGCCCAAATGACGAAATAACCTGAATTTAGTCATTCAACTCAAAGACTGGGAATGGGATGATAAGTTCACTAATATGACTCGAAGCCGCGCCTCCCTCACCCCTGCTGCTACATCTCCCACAAGGGCTCCTCAACATGTGCTCCATCAAACCTGGACTTGCCAGTCCAGGAATGAGACTCCGGCCTGCTCCGGGCCCCTGAGGAATTGATATAGGCTTTATTATTACTGGACCCCAGAGAAAATCCTAAGCACAAAGCTCTTTAAGATGAAAATCTTACAAAAACATTAGGTGCCTTGTTTGCCTCCCTTAATTGCTGAGATGCCTAATGCCTAAGCAACCCTTCATTACATGTTTAAAACCTAAAATTATAAGTTGTGAGCACAGGAAGCAAAAACAAAATTCTTTTTTTTTTTTAAACCACAATTAAAAAAATATTATTTCTGATCATGAACAATGAATGTTTCCACACCGCCTACGACCTTTGGTTCTGCAGAGCTGCTTGCCTGCCCGTATGCAGCTGGCCTTTCTGGCTGGCCTTGTGATCACGGAGAAGTATCCACAGGGCAGAGCTGTGTGATGCAGTTGTTACGAACTTTAACAATGTCCCTTCAAAATGCTGCTAGCAGGTGGCTCTACAATTTGAATAACTCAGACTGGAGATGTTATTAGAAGCCCAGGAGGCAATGAATGGGCTATATTCATGCTTCGTCTTTCCACTTAGATAACAAAACCAGAGGTAGAAGGAATCAGAGGTCATCTCGCAGACAAGCAAACAGGTATGAAACGAATGATTTCTGCAGATCACACCGTTAGTTAGAGCCAAACCTGATTTGGTTAGAGGTTAGAACCTCTCCTGCAACCCATCCCCAGGACCTCAGGGTGTTTCCTTGGACACACTTCCTAATTGCCAGATGCAAAGCTCTTTCAGGGCAACGTTACGTCTCACCTTTTATTATTATCCATCACAGCCCCCAGCAGAAAGCTTTACACAAAGCAGGTCTCAGACTGACGGGCTAACTGGTCTACCACCAGGAGACGGCACCTAGCAAACTAGCTGACCATCTATTTAGCAATCTGTGTCTCCTCCCACTGTAAGTCTCCACTGGAGCTAAGTTAAGCTCACAGAGTGGTATGGTAATGAATTCCCCAAGAATTAGTCCCCTGGCCCCATACAACAAGGTCAGAGGGCATCCATCAGTCCCAGCTCCGGACTGTTTTTGGAGGGTGAACGTGAGTCAGGCTAACTGAGGCCACTTCTCTTGTATCTATTTACCTCAAGGATGAAGCCACTGGTCCTCTTATAGTACAGAACCAGAGCAGTGCTTGGCCCAGGCTGGAACTGGCCTTCAATTACCAGGGGTCCAACGTGACCCAGGGCATCTCTACTCTACACTCGTGAGAATCCAATAGAGCAATCAACTCCCACACGTGGGCCTGGGATGGGTGGTTCTTAGTGGATAATATTCAGGAAGGCCTCTCACTGCTGAGCAGTCTAGAAAAGTAGCCAGTGTTTGCACCTTCCCCTGGGAGGATGTCAAAATGGCTACACCTTGATATCAAGCTCTTCATTGCCCCGCCCTGCTACCCCGTCATGGCCTCGTCATTTCAGTCCATCTCTAGACCCGGGCCCAAGATCTTCACCTGTATGTTCCACCCTTTTCCTCAAATCAACCCAATCCTTAACATTCTAGCCAAGCCCTTGTCTCGTCTAGAAAGCACCCCTGCTTGGCCCTGTATTACTCCAGTAACCCTCAGCACACTCATATTCCATTTGTAGGTGGCTCTGCCAATGTGAGCATCACCGCATGCCAAGCCACCTCCTCCCTGTGCTCTGGCAGCAGCAACCCCATCTTCTACATCCACTGTGCCTACCCTCACTCCCATCAAAGAAAGCACCCAAGGTGGAGATCTGCAAATAGCGGGCTATCAATCCATAGGGCTAACTGTCCCAGGCTGTAGGAGAATGGATCCACTGACCTCTTCCTTGCTACTCACCTCATTCAGCTTGACCCAGTTGAAGGACTTCAGTGGGTGTGAAGGCTGGGGGACACACTTCTTCCTGAGCGGGACATCACTGCTGGGGAAGGGGTCTGGGGCGAGGGGCAGGCCCATACTGAAGCAAGGTGGGGCACCGGGGGGAGTGGGAGGCCCACCGGGGGGTAGGGGGGGTGGTGGCGGTGGGGGACAGCAGGTGAACGGTAGAGGGGGCGGGGGTGGAGGCAGGTCACTGGTTGTCATCGAGGAAGACAAGGTAAGTGGGCCCCCAGGGGGAGGTGGGGAAGATACAGGTCCTGTCTGTGGGGAGACAGAGACATCAAAAAGACAAAGCATCAACAAGGATGCCTTTCGAGTCCCCCATCACTGTGCCTTCCCTTACTCTTATTCTCCACCTAGACTAGACCCCGAAGCCTGCTCTCACCTCCCACACACAATTAAGCCCCGTTTCCTCCCTCTGCATCCTGAACATCCAACACACAGGTGCACACACAAGGCAAACACAGACATAGTGGACAGTCATAGTCATCACATGCAACAGCGCGATTGATACAGACAGGCCTGCACACGGGCACCCAGCTGAGAGGGGGAGGGGAGCCCAAACCCCACCCGCACTCTGCTTTCCACGGTGTGCTTCCTGGGACAGTGTCACCCGGAGGAAGGAACGCTGTTTTTGTCTCACACAGGTGCCAACCTTGCAGCCTCAAGGGTCCCCTCTATCCCGGTCTGAGGTCTCCTCCACGCTGGGGTCCTCACCTCCTCCCCACGCCTGCTCTTCCCCCCACTGGCCTGAAGGTCTCGGCTCAACTATGTAAAAGCAGAGGAGGGGCCACGTACTGAGATTTCACTGAGTTGGGCCACCAGCTCTGCCACTTGTCCCCGAGCCTGGCGCAGCTCCTGGGACTCTCGGGCCAGCTTGTCCTTCATCTTGTTCAGTGTCCGCATCATCTCTTCCCTCTCCAACGTCTTGGTCTCGCATTCCCGCTCCTTCCTCTCCAGCCTGCTCACCAGCTCCGCGTGTTCTGGGATGGAAGAAGGACAGGAGGGGAAATGGGAAGAGAGGATGTGAATGCGTGTGTGTCCCTCTCCAAAGGAGGAAATGGGGTCCTCGGCTGGGCAGGGGAGGGGTGGGGAGCAGGGAGCGGGTTTGGGCAGAGCCCCCTCACCTTTCCGGAACTTCTCCGCTTGGTCTCGCCACTGTTTCACTTCGTTCTCATTGATGAGCCTGGCAGGGAGTGAAGGGTCTCTTGACTGTTTGCTCACAGCTTCCCAGAAGACATGGCATCTTCCAGTTCCCCACATTGGTACCCTGATCTCCAATCTGTCCAGCCACATCAAGGAGGCTAGGATTTTGACTCTCCAGATGTCTCTCCAGGTCCCATCCCTGACAAGTTCTCATTACCTGTCTCTCCATGGTCTGAGAAAGCTGAAAGGACCCTTAGAGTCCAACCCCTCTGGGACAGAGTTGAAGATCCTAAGACCAGAAAAGGAGATGACCGCTAACTCGTGGTAAAGCCAGGACTAAATCCCAGGCTTCCCTTAGTTGTACAATGATTTGTACCCCTTTGTAAAAATAGGTTCTCGCATCTGAGAGAGATCAAAATATTGGCCTTACCATGGTCCAGACTTCCAATGACCAATGTGTGAGAGCAAGAGAAATCGCCCACCCCAGTAACACAGAGTAAGTGGGTAGAGGGTAAAGAGGTGATGTGTCTAAATCATAGGAAGCCCCTTCATTCTTGTCAAACTCATTACAAGCGGTGAAAATGAAGCTTTTACCCAGACATCAAGGTATAAGAGAGGTGAAATTCCAAGGTGAGATCTCAATAATCATTTCTTTTGTAAATCTGAAAACACAGAGAAGTTAGATCCATGACTCTTGGCCTCCTCAACCAGGTCAAGGATATAAAGAGGGAGTGAAGTATGACGGGGAAATAATTTGCGAATAGATTTCTTTGGAGAGAGCCATTGTCATCCTCTCTGGCGGGGGGCGGGGGGGGGGGTCCTCCTTCAGCACCATCTAGTGAAGTGACTTCTTTGCGCCCACCCAGAGGGTCTGGCCCATGTTCCCTGACACCGGGAGGGAGGCACGGTGGACTGGGGCTAGGCGGGTCCAGAGGGTAGGCGGAGACCCGTGACACTCCAAGAATTTGTTAGTATGAGAGATTGCATGAGGGTTTCTCATGAGCCAGAGAGCATCGTGGAGGAATTCGGCTGAAGCTATTTTAAGTCTCATCCAAAAAGTCCATCTGGACACTTCAACAGTGTACGTCTACGTGTATTGTATTGCCAGTGAATCAGGACCTGATGGAAGGGATGGTGCCAAGCAGGCCTGGAGGAGAAAAAAGAAAAACATGTGTCTCCAGTGACCAGGGTTTTGTAGCGAGAGGCACCCAGCAAGGAACTTCTGAAGACCCCAGGAATACATGTCATATCTTTATCCATGTGCCAAGCCCAGAGAGCAGGAAGCTTATTTACTAAGTTACCTGATCAAGTAGGGCCTTTTCTCTTTCTCCTTCCTGCCCCCATGCTGCCTCTGGTGGGGGTCAGAAAATGGTTAGCTAGAGGAAAGGGGGGTGGGGTAGAAGGGGCTAGAAGAGAAACAGAACACAGAAAAAGAAGCCAACCATCACACTCACTCACTCTCTCTCTCTCACACACACACACACACACACACACACACACGCACACTCTCACACTCTCTTCCCACTGCAGCTTCCAGCCCCAGTCCACGGAGAGAGGCTCAAGGCTAAATCCAATCTAGAATATTGATTCACGTCTGAGACTAGCCCTTCTACTTGCAGATTTGAGGCTATGTTGGCGGCTGAAAGTGAGCTTAGGACTCCCATTGTCCAAGAAGCAGCAAAAACTTCATTGCACCCGAGGAGTTGTCATCCCCTGGCAGAGGAAAAGCTTCCCCACTAAGTAATGTAAAGAATTAGTAGAAGATAAAAAAAAAGCTGCCTTCACTATTTACAATAGCCAAGACATGGAAGCAACCTAAATGTCCATCGACAGAGGAATGGATAAAGAAGATGTGGTACATAGATACAATGGAATATTACTCAGCCATAAAAAAACCAATGAAATGATGCCATTTGCAGCAACATGGATGGACACAAAGATTATCATACTAAGTGAAGGAAGTCAGACAAAGACAAATCCCATATGATATCACTCATATGTGTAATCTAATTTAAAAAATGATACAAATGAACTTACTTACAAAACAGAAACAGACTCGAAGACTTCAAAAACAAACTCATGGTTACCCAAAGGGAAAGGTGGGGGGGCGAGATAAGTTAGGAGTTTGGGATTAATGTACACAATACTATAAATAAAATAGATAACCAGCAAGGACCTACTGTATAGCACAGGGAACTCTACTCAATATTCTGTAATAACCTATATGGGAAATACGAATCTGAAAAAGAATGGATCTATGTGTATGTATAACTGAATCACTTTGCTGTACACCTGAAACTAACACACCACTGTAAATCAACTATACTCCAATATAAAACAAAAATTAAATTTTAAAAACTTCAAAAAATAAATAAAGCTGCCTTTTGATTACTTTCCTAGTTGTACTTGTCCGAGATGCCAGTTAGGATTTTGACCACAGCAACACCCAGCTATTAGTGCAAATGAAAACAGTAGCATGAATAGTTCAGACACCATTTTCTCCTTGGCTTTGCGATGCAGCACAATGAATCCTTGAGAGCCAATTCATCTCCTTAAGGGCAACTGACATAGGCTTAGACGGAAAGTAAAAGTTTAAAATTAAAAATCAGTGTGCTAACATGAGGCCTGATTATTAGCTGACACGACTTTAAACTCATTTCTCGGTGTTTCTCTACACCCAGGGTCAGTCAAAGATGATAAGCCAGAGACCTTAGGCTCTGACATCGTTTTCCAACAGCCTCATGATTAAATTGTCATGCTCTATTTTCAGCGGTTGGCAGACCTTCTCTAAAGAGCCAGAGTAACTATTTTCGGTTTTATATACTATGTACAGTCTCTGTCATATATTCTTTGTGTTTGTTTTTAACAACTCTTTTAAAATGTAAAACTATTCTTGGCTCGTGGACCATACGAAACAAGCTGGAGGGCGGGGGTTAGCCTGTAGCCATAGTTTGCTGACTTTTCCTCCGTGTTGATACGTGTAATTCCCCCTCAATCCACTGAACGCAGTGGATCATGGCGAGTTGCGTACACCCCCTTTAAACCTGTGCTATCCAATACGGCGGTCGCCAGCCATGTCACGTGACTACTTGAATTTAATGAAAATTAAATGAAATGTAAAACTCAGTTCCTCAGTCACACTAGCCACACGTCAAGGGCTCAGCAGCCGTATTTGGACAGTGCGTGTGTGGAACATTTCCATTATCTCGGGGAGTTCTGTTGATTTTGCTCAAGGCCCATTGGAGGTGTCTGGGCTGGAGAGAGGGAGCTGAGGTTTCGCTGGTGAGACCCCAAGTAGGAGAGGGATGGGGAAGGAAGAGGGAGACAGGTGAGGGATGGCCACTGCTCACATGTTGACGATGTTCTTGACGTTGAAGTTCTCCAAGGGAGCCAGGTCAGGATCCATACCCCTCTCATCCTGGAGGACGATCTGCTGGAGGATGCGGTCCAGGAGCTGCCACTGCTGGAAGTTCCTCTTGTCTGAGGGATGACAGGCATCGTATCTTTACTGAGCCCTGGAACCCCCTGGGGCCCTGCCCTAGCGTCACTCCCTGGGGCCAGGCTGGGGAGGTGAGTCCCTCCCCTCCCTTGACAAGCTCCCCGTCTGACTGGGGAGGCAATGCAACTACTGATAATGAAGACTCATAAATCCTATCATTTCTTGCTCATCTACAACTGACCTTTTATGAATGTGTCAACCGTCTAGATATATTTCTCTATTCCCTGAAATGCTTTCTGGCCGTCTTCTTCCCTGTTGGTACCCTGAGTATCCTATACCTGGGGAATGCAAATTGCTTTTTTACAATTATCTTCAAAAAGCACATTTAAGAAAGTAAATCTGCTCCAAACATTACATGCTGAATAATGAAGTCTCCAGGGAAAAATTTTTTGAAAGAAAAGGTTTTAGGATTATCAGTGCTATTGTCCTACAGAGGAAGATGAATGGAGACTCATTACAGGTGCACACTGAGAGGGGGTCAGAATGGGCTGAAGAAGTGGCTGTGGAATCCTGGCAGATTTCGTGGTGAAGGTGACCCTGAACTGTGAAGGCAAAGGCATCGTGTGTTGCGCCTGCACAGGGCCCCACGGGCATCCCCTTCTAATCGTAGTCTGGCTGGACGTGGACTTTCTTTTCACGTGATGGCCACAAGCTCCTCTTCCTTGGTTCTTGATCCAAGTACTTTGTTTCTACTGACCACCAAGGGGAGGTCAAGCAGCATGATCCTGGCCTCAAAGGCAAACCATAATGCCCACAAAGTGGAAGGTCACATCTGCATAGCCCCATTTTGAGGCAGAACAGAGGGACCCGTTCACAATGCCCTTAGAGCACTAAACACAGGAAGTCATGTGAGCAGAAGTCGGATTTCCCACGTCTTCCACGAAGACTTTCTAGACTGAGTTCTGGAGAGCTGGCAGCTTCCAGGTCACTGTGTCTGTCCTCCTTTCCATCACTCCACTGACACATGCATTGCAAAGTGGCCATCGTTTTCCATTTACCTTTCAACCAGGAACACAGGGTAAAGCCTGTGTTCACAGAAGTAGAATGTGTTTCATCTAAAGCCCTGATCCCAAAGAAACAAAATTCCTTCATATGTACAGACTCACTGAGCCTCAGGTTCACTCACTGTAAATTGGGTATAATAATACACTCCTTAAGCCATTCTGAGGTATAGAGACACTATCTTAATAGACCTCCCATCACACCCAGCCCAGAGATGGCGACAATAAATTGTAGTTGTCACCACCACCTCGATTACCAACACCAACATCATCACCACTAAAGAGAGTCTGTCTAGGCTGACCATTATGTTGGGCCATGCCAGTTTCCAAATATTCTATTTTATGAAGAGCTTAAGTACCAAATGGTGCAGTTATAGCTCATTTCAAATTGCATGCTGGCGTGGCTATTAGTAATTATGTATAATTTATTCAGTCACCGGGCACGCCTGGATCGTAAGAGCTTAGCCTCTGCTTCTATAGATACTGACATTTGGTATTTGTAAAGTGAGTCAGGAACAAGGGTGGTAGGATGGGAGCCAGCAAGGGCTAGATAGAGGAGTTGATAAAATCTTAAAAAAAAAAAAAAAAAAAGGCAAGGCACACTCTTCCCACAGCTGTGCTGCTCCCCGCAAGCACAAAACTCCTTTTTGGAACGCCCTGAGGAGAATGATCACGACCCCGCCACGAGCTGGCAGTCAGAGCTGTTGGATCCTTCAGGGATCAAGCTCCCGCTCGTTGGACCAGGATGATGGCATTGCTCAGGGCTGACTCCCCCGCTCCTCTGCTGGGGGACAGTGTAAGTCCTGACCCCCAGGAGGAAGGGAAGAGCACGGGCCTGAGTCCTATGGCCTGGCCTCCTGGGAACTGGGGTGCAGGGGGAGACATGGGGAGGCTTCCCAACCCTGGGAGCTTCTGACACCTTGTCTCCAGCTGCCCCGGGGCCAGGGGCTCAGGCTGGCTGAGGGAGCTACTCACAGGGCATCTGCAGGCAGTGGTGCAGGACAGACAGCAGGCAGGGGTAGGCCTCTGTGTGCTTCAGTTTCTTGTGGATCAGCTCAAACATCTGGGAAGCACTCTTGGTGTCGATGTGGACCTGAGGGTGTGGAGGGCATAGTGAATGGGGAGAGGGGAGGGGAAGGCAGCAGAGGGAGAGAATGGGGAGGGAGAAGACCCTGCTTTCATCCACTGAGCCCCGTCCGGCAGCAGCATTCCTTTCCTGCCTCTGGTCCAGGCTTAAAAAAGAGACGGGCATGGGCTTCCCTGGTGGCACAGTGGTTGAGAGTCCGCCTGCCGATGCAGGGGACAGGGGTTCGTGCCCCGGTCCGGGAAGATCCCACATGCCGCAGAGCGGCTGGGCCCGTGAGCCATGGCCGCTGAGCCTGCGCGTCCGGAGCCTGTGCTCCGCAGCGGGAGAGGCCACAACAGTGAGAGGCCCGTGTACCGCAAAAAAAAAAAAAAAAAAAAAAAAGAGACGGGCAGAGAAAAGGAGGAGAGAGCTGTGCTAATTATATAAACCAGGGTTTCCCAACCTCGGCACCACCGGCATCTTGGACTGGATGATTCTCTGTTGTGGGAGGCTGTCCTGTTCATTGCGGGCTGTTCGGCAGCATCCTGGCCCTATATCTACCAGGCGTCAGGGGCATCTTCCTCACACCTGTTGCGACAGCTAAGAATGTCTCTAAACATCGCAGGTGTCCCCAAGGGAAGTAAAATCTCCCCTGGTTGAGAGCTACTGATTCAGACTAAGGGAAGGAAGCAGGGGCCTGGATGAGTCAAGGAGCACGTGGCATAGGTTCACGGGTGCGACTTCCAGACCGACTCTGCCACTGAGTGACAACAGCAAGCTGCTTGCCCTTTGCTAACGTCAGTTTCCTTCTCTTTCAATTCAGGGCTTTTTTTTTTTAGAATATAAAGTGATGGTGCTTGGCTACTGAAGCACCACCCCAAAGGAGGTCTCCACGTGGGTAGGGATTTTATAACACAATATTTAAGCAGCAGACGTGTGGATTTTCAGGGTTACCAAGGCTAAAATGGAAATGTTGTTTGCTAAGCATGATCAGGTTAGTGATGGGGAAAGGTATCTCAGGAAATTACTGGAAGACACGGAGAAAGTCACCCCAGGGGAGGCATTTGAGAGTAACCATGTGTAAGAATTGTCTCTCTTTCCTTTGGGGGTTGCAGTGGGAGATGCTCTCCCCGGTTAGGCTCTGCTGGTGAGGCCTGGCAGAGCCACCATACTACCAGGGCTCCAGAAGCGGGACCTGGCCGTGGAGGCATCCACCAGGGAACCCAGCCAACACCGGACCTACCACAGCACGGCATCTGGGACCCACTGCAGTCGCCCCATCCTTGCAGGCTCCTCACCATGTCAAACCTCCTGGCTAGCTCCAGGTCATCCTCGTTCCGGACCATCTCGAAGAAGTCCAAATGCCTAGACAGGACGGGGGGATACAGGGAGTAGACCTCACCTCCAGGCCAGCCCCGGGTGAGGGTTACAGCCCTTCCAAGCCCCCCACTGACTCAATCTGAAGGCTTCATTCAGGTGAGGCCAAGGCAAAGCCAGAAAGAAGCCAGCTGCCTGTACGTCAACACTCTCCTCCTTTACAGAATCCCATGCCCATCCGTCAGGGAGGCCAACCGAGGGTCCTATCACCTTCCATCGGGCTTTCACAAGTTCGGAACCGCTGACATTTGGGGCTGGGTCATCCCTGGCTTTGGGAGGTGGGTGTGTGAGTTCCAAGATGTGTACCAGCATCCCTGACGACTAGCCACCAGATGCCAGCAGAATCCCCCGCTTTGTGACAACCACAAAATGTCTCCAGGAGCTGCCAGAAGTCTCCTGGCACGGGCAGTCAAGGACCACTGCCCTACACCTACCTTCCCCAGTGTTCTTTTTTTTCTTCTTTAGTGGAGTATAATTGCTTTACAATGTTGTGTTAGTTTCTGCTGTACAACAAAGTGAATCAGCTATATATATATACCCCCTCCCACTTGGACCTCCCTCCCTCCCCGTCCCCCATCCCACCCATCTAGGTCACCGCAGAGCACCGAGCTGAGCTCCCTGTGCTATACAGCAGGTTTCCACTAGCTCTCTATTTTACACATGGTAGTGCATATATGTCAATCCCAATCTCCCAATTTGTCTCACCCTCCCCTTCCTCCCCTGTGCCTGCACGTCTGTTCTCTACGTCTGGCATCTCTATTCCTGTCCTGCAAACAGTACTGTCCCGTGTCCCCACTCAAAGCCAATCTCTCATCTTCTACCCCATCCACTCCTCCACGCCACCACAAAAGGACCCATTCTCTCTCCCTTAAGACCTAACGTAATAACATAGCCTGTGCGAGTGGGGTGGAACCAGAGAGGCTCACTAGTGATGCACAGGAGCTTCACTGTGCCCTTTGGTCAGCAAAGGCCTTGATGGCTTGCTTGCAGCTTGGCGGGGAGCATTTCTTGGCTGAGCAGCCGGGCGCTGCGGGACGTTTAACATTCCTGGCTCCCTACAACCAATGCCAGTAGTGCCTCCCACCGGCCAGTTTGAAAACCAAAGAACACCCCTACATGGTTCCAAATTCCCCCCAGCGGGCAGTACTGCCACAGAGGAGGACTACTGGGTCCACCTGCCTATATCATCAGAGATCAGACAGGAGGTCAGCAAAGAGGACAGGCAGGGGCATAGGTGATGTGGGACAAGAAGGTGGGGGAGCTGTCCACCTCCCGCCCCCCAGAGCTGCTTTTGAATCGATGCTGGGTGCGGCAGGCGGTCTCCAGGGGAACAGAAACCTCTACAGGAGTCCTGACCATCCCCCACCGAGGCGTTGTCGCTGTAGGTTTGCACGGGGACGGGTGACTCGGGCCTTACTTGTCCAGGATGGCATTCTCGTGCTGCCGGAGTTTGTCAATCACAGGCTGTATCCCCAGCATCAGGAACTCGTACCGTAGATGTAGACGGAACTCCAGATTATCCTGGGGGTCACCAAGGGAGGACCAGACTCACTGGCTGGTCTCAATTTCCACAGGAGTCCCCAGTGGCCCCCTCACTGCCACTCCAGTCCCACCACCCTGCAGCAAACTCATCAGAACTGCTTCGAGTCCCAGAGTTGCAAGAAAGGGTGGGAGGAGACATGCTCTGACCTTGTTATTTACTCCCTTTAGCTCTCCTGCCTCACTTCCTTTAAGTCCTTCACCAGTTTTCTCTAAGTTTTTGGCCTCAAAGAGCAGTGTTGAAGAGTGATACAGAGCACACACTTTGGAACCAGACATTTCTTGGTTCCAATCCCTGCTCTGTCACTTACTGGTTTTGTGACTTTTGCAAAAGTCTTAGTTTTCTCATCAGTTAAACGGGCATGATATTACTTACCTACAGGAATGATATTCATAAGAAGTGCATGGTGAGGTATGGTTAGCAACTAACCAGAACAGATGTCAGCATAAATAGCTAGTACTGACTCACGTGACATCAGCATCTTAGGGACAGGTAATTCCCCCAATCCACCCCACCTAACTCAGGTCATCAGGACGGGACGCAAAAAAAAGTATGCTGGCAGAAAAGAGGGAAAAGCAGAGATCATTAAATTGCCCCTTTTGACCTTCAACAAGCTGACCTTGACTGGGGCACCTGATTGCCTTAGCATTTGGGGGGTTCACCTGCTCTTCAAGTTCTTCTTCGACTGTTGCTATTTTTAAGGTCTGGGAATCCCATTCTGACCCCAAAAGAAGGAAAATCAGAAGTCACACCTCCTAACAGAAGGTGCTAGAAGAGCATGATCAGCCACCCCAGAAATCAGTCCAGAAGCAGGTCTTTAGAAAGTTCTAGAAAGAAGGGCCAACACTTGCCCTCCTCCCATAAATGATCCCCCACCATCCTAAACAGTCATCAGCCAGACAAGCTTGGGGTTTGTCCATGACACACATAATGCATGACGCGACCCAGGCAGGAAGCTCCCCAGGAACCGCTCATGACAGGGAGGTTTATGACAAGCTGTTCTTTCTTGGCCCCAAGTGAAGGAGGCAAGAGGTGATACAGGTAATCTGAGGACAGTGATGGTAGTGTCAGCCACACTGACCCTCTGCCACGTCCCCAGGCAGCGCTCACGCCCTCTTCCCCAGGTCCGGAAAGTCAGGGCCCAGCAAGGGCACAGAGAAGATGCCTCACCTCTCCAGCGCCAGCATTGAGGACAGCGTTGATAAAGGACATGATGGCTGTTTTCAGATTCACTTCATCTCGGTACCGGCCCAGACTTCGGTCCAGCTCATTCAGCAGTGTCTGGATGGAAAGGCAGGATGGAAAAAGAGAGGAGGGCTCAGGATCCTATGAGTCCAGCCTCTGTGCCTTTGCTCCTGCCCTTCCAATCGCCCAGAATGCCCCATCTGTTCTCTCTACCCAATCTATCCAATCTCATCTTGGACCTTCCCTAAAGCTCACCTTTTCCAGGAAGCATCCTTTGCCTCTCTACATCTCAGCCCCAGTCCTACCTTATTCTCCTGTCCACCCAGCCTTGGGGACTTGCTTTATTTTGCTGGGTGATGCTGAAAAGATGCTTTAGCACTTTACAGCTGTTTACAGCTCCTCAGCCCTCCATATCTGTGGGTCCCATTTGTGCAGATTCAACCAATGCCAGGTTGAAAATATACATTTTTTAAATTTCAGAAAGTTCCAAAAAGCAAAATTTGAATTTTTTGAACACCAGTAACTGTTTACATAGCATTTATATGGTACTTACAGTTATTTACAGAGCATTTACATTATATTAGGTCCTATAAGTAATCCAGAGATGATTTAAAGTACACAGAAGGATGTGCATAGGTTACATGCAAATACTACACTATTTTATATAAGACATTTAAGTATCCATAGATTTTGGTATCCACGAGGGTCCTGCGACCGATCCCCCGAGGATACCGAGAGTAACTGTATTCCCTGCCCAGCTCCTTGATAGCATGGGTATTACCTTTTACCTCCTTTGCATCTTCTGCAAAAGGCCAGGGGTCATTTTCTGAACAGAGTAGGTGCTTTCAAATGTTTGATGACAGAATAAGCATATAGTCTATAGTGGTGGATAAACCATAATATTTGTGATAACAGTTCACATCTATTAAGACTTAGTACCAAGACACTATACTTATTGTCTATCTCTTTACCTGGAGCAGGTCAGGGAGAAGAAAAGAGCATAGCATGGCCTGAGTTCCCAGGACTTGTCCCAGTGTCCCTATAGTAGGCACTGGCCCAGGCATCGGGCCTAAAATCTCCATTCCAGCAATGGCATTCGATTCAATATTTCTTGACTGAGCCCCTTTATGAGCCAGGTGCTGGGTTCAGAGACACTGAGCCACAAAAATGAAGCAGACCAATATTCCAGTCTCAAGGAACCCACGGTCTAGTGAGGAGTCCATTTTCCCAGCCAAACCGCCCCTCTCTTAAGGCTCCTCAGCTCTTTTTATATAAGCCCTCCACCAGCCCCACACCTGGAAGCGCGTCCGCTCGGCTGCGTACACCTGGTAGTGTAGCATGGCCTGCAGCACCTTCTTGTGGCCGCCAGGCACCAGGCACACGGCGCCCAGGATCTCCAGCACGGCCACCTTGGTCTTGCTGTTCTCCGTGCGCAGGCTCTGTGCGATGGTGCTGATGGCCTCGGGCTGTGCCAGCACGTGTGCCCGCCCCTGGGAGTTGTTCATCAGAGCTTTGATGCAGCCGATGAGGGAGGTGTGGATGCGGCTTTCACAGGTGGCGTGGTCCATGCTCCGGAGGAAGTTCAGCAAACAGGTCAAGCCCTCCAGCTCGATGAAGCGGGTCACAAACCTGCCCAGACCAGAGCCATCAGCAAAACAGGTATCCTGCAGTTGCATATTATTCTGTATGCATTTTGCAAACAGCTACCCCTTACCTGGGTACCGCTGTGTCCCACCAACAGCAGCCACTTGGTTCACTTGTAAAATTTACCTAAAGCACTAAAATCCTATCACCTCACAAGACTCAGATCTTATTTGCATTTTAAATACCATGCATTTGCACGTCGTTGACTGTGGGTTACACAGCTATGAAGGTGTATATGTGAAAGAGATGATCATGATAATTATTAGGATAATAATCATGGCTGTTAAACCTGAAGACTCATCACCAACGACGATGGGAATTAAGAGAATTACAGTCAGAAAACAAGGAGGACTTGCAGACATGGGAGCCATCAGAGTCACTGCAACAAGGGATCAAGGCTGGGGAAGGCACTCTTCAAGGGATCCCTAAGAAAACATCTGAGTTATCTTGAAGGTTAGCAAAAAAAAACATTAAAAACCCTTTAGTTCAGGGGTTCTTAACCTGGAATCTGTGTTCCCCTAAGGGGTCTATGGCTAACATTCAGGGGTCCATGAACTTGGATGGGAAAAGAAAATTACACTTTTAGTTTTGGTAAAACCTCTACCTGAAATTTAGCATTTCCTTCAGGGATGAACGGAGGCGATAAACTATAGTGACATCAGCAGATCTGTGACTTTGTCGCACAAAGAAATCACAGCTGTTTTCATCTCTAATTACAGTTGCTACAGGAGTCTCAAAATACCATTTCCACTCATCAGGGCTTCAGAATTATGGTGGTTGCCGGTTCTTATTATTTAAGGCATAAAGAAGTACATTTATTGCTATCTCACAAATGTTTAAAATTTGGTAACTATTTCAATTTAATTGGTTCATTTTTAACTTTATCTATTTCTATCTATTTTACTGTTTAACAACATCACTCTGATAAGCACTCAAAAGGTTTCACGTGGGTGGCAAAGTCATCCATGGCACACACACACACACACATACATACACATACATACATACACACACACACACACACACAGAGGCTTCAAACCCTTGATTCAGTAGAATAATTAATGATCTGAGGAAATGTCATAAATGAAGGTGAGGAAAGCACTACATATAATTAGTACATTTGATCCCCAGTGCGTTTGTATTTCTACATGATTAAAGAAATACGCCTAGAAAAATAGAATGTGCTCTTAAATTGTTAAAAATAGGTATTATTTATTTTCTATTTCATACTTTTATGTATTCCACAAAATTTCCCCCATGACTGTGTGTGACTTTTTTAATCAGAATTTTATTATGGGGAAAAAAAAAATAAATGGAAGTGGGAGATGAACCCGGCAACCTCCCCTCAGCCCTTCTACTTCCTGACGTCCTCATCCTTCCTGCATCCCCTGCCCATACCAGGCCCCCACCCCACCCCGCCTGAGCAACAAGCAGGGATTAGGGGGCTCCCGTTCTCCTTGAGGCTATTTCCAGGCTCCTGGGTCAACCTAGACCACACATGTGCACGTGTGCGTATGTGCACGCGTGCGTGCGCGTGCGTGCATGCGCACACACACACACGAAGATCATTGTGCTGGTAACAACTGGCGCTCTAGAGAAAGAAAAGTCCTGATTGTGGTGTTTGCCAATTTCCATGGTATAAATACCGCCAGCATATCTGATTTCAAAGTATCAATGTGTGTCATTGAACATGGAGCTGGGAAGAGATGCACCGTTTACATATTCCCACCAGGCACACACACTGGGTGTAAACTCACTGAGCACAGGTAACAGTAAAGAGCATACATAACAGTAAAATGTAGTCAAATCATCAGGTAATTAAGGAGTGATAAGTTTCAAGCACTTAATTGCCTTTGTTTTTGGTAGCATTTATTTAATCATGAGTTGATGTAATTTACATTTTCATCATAGCTATGTTTAACAACCAGCTTGCAAAACTGCTGAACATGTTGAGAGTTGGCTCGCACAAGCCAGAATGAGTTGCCAGACACAAGAGGAGCCTGTGGCTCTCTTGGGCCCTTTCACAATGTGGACTGGGACATGGGGAGAGGCTCTTTTCAGCCCTTGAGACACCCATCCCCCCCTTCCTTGCCTGCTCCCACTCTAGATGGAGAAATCTCATCCAGAGACACCACATCGCCCCCTAGTGGCTGGAGTACTTCTCACCCACACTCACCCCTCTGGCGCGGGGCCCCTCATGTGCACAGCTCTTTCTTGTGTACCTGTCCGTATGCCCAACCCCCACCCCCCCATCCTGTTCTGTCTTCCCAATAAAACAAGCACCTGCCTTCAGTTTCTCTTCAGGATCTGAGGTTGATCTCATCTTTCCATGTTCATCTCCCCTCCCCAACATGCCCATCCTCTGGCAGCATCCCAGCTTCTCACAGAGGGGGTGTAGGAGCCGGGATGTGAAAGGAGGTAAAGTGAGCTCTAGGGGATGCTGGAGAGTGGAGTTGGCCAAGGGGACTGGGATGGGAGCAGAGCTCTGCGTGAAGCTTCGGGAAGCTGAGGGGACCGCTGGGTGAGGGGACGTGGAAGGAAGTGAGGGAAGGGGACATCACCTCATGGGCTGTGTCCGGAGGGCCGTCTTCAGGTCTTCCACAACTTGATTCCTCATCTCCGTCTCCTCCTCATCAAACGCGTACAGACTCTGCATCTGAGGTCGGAGAAGGGGGCAGAGGTCACGCTGGACTGCCTGTCTCCCAGCTCCCTGCCACACCCAGCCCAAGTGTGACCCGGGGGCCGCCCTCGCCTCAGGAATGGTGAGGCCTCAGGGAACGGTTTACTAAGACAGAGTGACAGAGTCTGAGAAGAGCCATTCCCAGGCTTCACTTTCCTCATCTGTAAAATGGGGAGAATGATCAGCCCAGACTATTTCCCAAGGCTGTGTGATATATACATAATAAATGTTTCAATGGTTTGGGGGGATCTAAAGTCACACAGGGGAGAGAGGGATCAGGATAAAATCTTGAGAATAACTGAAAAGCTGCTGATCCCCAGAGAGGGTGGGCTGTGGGGTGCAGGGGAGGATCATGACCACTCTCCCCAGAGCCTTTCCAGGCAGGGCCGGGGCAGGACAGGGGCGAGGCTCACCGCGGCCATGGAGTTGATGCGGTCGATGTAATAGTCAGGCCAGCTGGTCGCCAGCTTGTTGGGATCCTCCTGTTCCTGGAACAAGATGAAGGACTGGATGGACCCCCCGGCAAGACAGGCCCACAGTCTGAGACCCTGAGCTTCGTCCCAGGTCAGCATTCAGATTCATCTCCTAGCCCAGCCTAGACGAGGTGACTTCGAGGAAGTTATAAAATCTCCCCAGGCTTCCATTTCCTCCTTGGCAAAAGGCAGATCGTGGACATCGAATCTCAGGACCAGCCAGTGACAGAGGCAGAAACCACACAGGTGTATACACTTTCAAACAATATACACAATTAAAAATAAATTCTTTTTTTTCCCCTGTTATATCTGTTCTGACTCTATTTAATAAAATACAATTTTAAGTCTGTTGAATCTAATGAAAATGTGTGCTTATATTTTGTACATCTCCTTTTTCAAATTTTATTGTTTTCTGATAATATCATTCTCATTGTATTTTACAAAAGTATTTGTCGGTGACAGTTTGGATATTTAAAAACTTGGTCTTTCTCTCAGACAGTTTGGGAAGCACTGATTGACATAGAGCATTTGGTGCAGCGCCTAGCACATAGTAGGTACTCAGTAAACTGTAACTTTAAAAAAGGAGGGAAAAAGACACTCCCAAGGCCCTGGGTTTGGAAGGAGGAAGGGTCTGTGCAGCTAGGAGGTAGAGCCCAGATGAGACATGGCCCTCGGGCCCCAAGAGAAAGCCTCAAGTCCTCCCCAAGTGTGGGCAGGAATGAGGGGAGCTGGACAAGAATTGATGCTGACTGAAAATCCAGTCCTCTCCTCCGGCCAGTGGGTCTGCTTCTGGGCATTACACACACCCTCCTCCTTCCTGTCCCTGTTTCATCTGGAGGTACCCCCTCATCTGCTTTCTGCCAATTTCCTGCTTTCAAATTAGCATGAACATTTACCTCCTCCAGAACCTTCCTGTTGAACCACCTGCCTGCCAGCCAGCCTGGACTTTGCCCTGCATCCCTCAGCCTCATCCACTCTGGCTTCATGATTTTGTTTCTTAAAATCCAAATTTTAGGGCTTCCCTGGTGGCGCAGTGGTTGAGAGTCCGCCTGCTGATGCAGGGGATGCGGGTTCGTGCCCCGGTCCGGGAAGATCCCACATGCCGCGGAGCGGCTGGGCTCGTGAGCCATGGCCGCTGAGCCTGCGCGTCCAGAGCCTGTGCTCCACAATGGGAGAGGCCACAACAGTGAGAGGCCCACATACCGCAAAAAAAAAAAAAAATCCAAATTTTAGATCAGTGAGAAACCTGGCTTGATCGGGTCTTTGTGACTTCACGTGGATATATATGACCAAAGTCCCCAAATTCTAGCTTCCGCCTTAGAGAGGAGATCACAGAACATAAACGAACGTATCATGAAACACATACTTTCCTGCCTTTACTGGCTCCCCATTTAGCCATTTCACATGCCTTTAATGAGCACCTACTACATGCCAATCACTGCACTGAACCCTGAAAGTACTGAACAAAAAGTCATCCACGTAGTAGTCTGTCTTGTGCCAGAGGCAGGGTGACCGGTGCTCTACGTCCATTTGTGGGCCATGGAAACCCAGGGTGGGGGGCATCTAACACACAACGCTCGTGCGGGGGCTGGGGTAGGGGGTCTGAGAGGACTGGGCTGAGTTACTCAAGATTACTGAAGCTAAGAAAGGGGGAGGGTGTTAGAGACAAGAGGAAGTACCATGTGGAAAGAGAGGGGGGTGTGAAAGTGTGTGGGGAGATGACACACAACGTGGTTTGGAAGGTGGTGAGAGACGTCCTTACATTTTAGTGCGTTTTTTATTTTAGCTGCATAAGGGATCAACGTCAGGGACCTCCAGAGTAAATCAGTTTGGAAAGTGGAGAAGCACGAGATAGGATGAGCTACTCCTGAAATTAATTTTCTCCTTCCTCCCTCCCTCCCTTCCACGACTTGAGCTTTTGAAAGACCTGCTTTCCTCACAATGAGATTCCTAAACACAGAGCACAGTATTCTACAGGTGCTTAATACATGCACACTGAGTTTACTAGACAGTGGCTTGCAGTGCATGCAGGTTCTCAAGGCTCTGGCAGGCTTGCATTCCAGCATCATTGCAGCACTTGCCACGACTGGCTGGTGACTTTGCGTGAAGGCCTCTCTAGGCCTTCCTGGCCTCCTGTGTAGAATGAAAGACTAGACTGGGTTGCTCCTCGGTTCCTTCCAACTCTAGAATAGTGACCAATTTTATGAGCTCGGTCTGGCCCAGTATGGAGCCCGGAACAAATATCTTGAGCGAGAAGAGTTATAAAAGAGCCAGGAATGGGCTCTAAGGAGCACGAAGGAGAAACAGCCCCAAACCATCCCAGACCTGCCCGTCTTCTCCCAGAAGGGAGACTTCTGAGCCTCAGGTGTGGGAAGAACCAGGTCCTAGCTCCCAAACACCTATACACTCTTGAGCTGCAAGCCTGAGAAACGAGAGGGTGGAGGGGTGGGGAGGAAGGTGGGCCAGGAAAAGAAAAATAGAGTGAAAGAAACAGGCTCAAATAGAAAGGTGGCAAGAGAGACGTAGAGAGAAAGAGATGAAGGAAAGAGACATAGAGATGGAGGAAGAGAGAAGAAAGCACAGCCACTGGGAAAGCAGAGGGGAGGAGATAAAACCCAATTAAGACCTGACTGCAGCCCGGCACATCCTTCTAGGGAGGACCATATTCAGGGGACTGACATCTTTTTTTTTTTTTTTTTTTGCGGTACGCAGGCCTCTCACCGCTGTGGCCTCTCCCGTTGCGGAGCACAGGCTCCGGACGCGCAGGCTCAGTGGCCATGGCTCACGGGCTCAGCCGCTCCGCAGCATGTGGGATCTTCCCGGACCGGGGCACGAACCTGCATCCCCTGCATCGGCAGGCGGATTCTCAACCACTGCGCCACCAGGGAAGTGCAGGGGACTGACATCTTTTAATGAAGGAGAGGAGGAAAGGGAGGAAAGGGTGGGGAGAGTGGAGACCAGTGCGTGTCCCTGGTGTGCATGCTGCCCTGGGACAGGGACACAGCCTGGGACGGGGTGGGGGTGGGGCTAAAGATCCAGAAGAGACCACTCACTTCCCCCCAAATGGAGTTCTTCCAACAGAGCTGCCCCCAGGTATGGCCCAGGGCGCACACCCTCTCCGCATACGCACAGGCACAAGAAAGGAAACTAGACTTTTTTTTTTTGGCCGCGCAGCTTGTGGGATCTTAGTTCCCTGACCAGGGATCGAACCCGGTCCCACAGCAGTGAAAGCACGGAGTCCTAACCACTGGACCACCAGGGAATTCCCTAGACCTGTTATCGTACAGCTCCCTTACCCAGCACCAACTCCTGGAACCCAGTGGGCACCTGCTTACAGGATTTTTGAAAACCAGAATCCTATGTCCCTGAGTGTAAGCTCCATGACAGCAGGGATTATTTTTGTCCTGATTTATTCACTGTCACTCCTCCAACACCTAGAACAGGACAGGTGTACAGTAAATACTGGTTAAATGAATGAGCAAAGCATGGAGGCAAGGGCTGCCGTGCTGTGGACCCTGAGGGACAGCAGAAGGGAATCAGAGAGGGCACCTTCTTCTTGCTGCAGTAGATCTGCCATTTCTTCTCAGGTGGCAGTGCAAACACAGCCTCCCGGTTTTTGTCGGTGAGATCCAATTCATCCTGCAAAGACAACAAGAAATACATCTGAAACCCAGACATGGTTGACCTTCGAATATTCGGTCCTACAGGAAATTACAGTTCCCTCGAATTCCCTCAAAGCCCTCAGCCTGCTGTCCTCCTCCAAAGAGCATCAAAGATATGATAGGGCAATTCTTTTCCTAGAAGTTCAGCCCCATCCTCCCATCTCCTTGCAGCAAGCCCTTGAGCTTCTATCCAAGGATCTTTCACTTCCAGTCCCCGTCCCTGGCTCCTCCTATCCAGGTCCCCTGTTCCCTGCCCATCTCCCGTATTGCTTTGCTAGCCTCTAGTCCTCTAGCCTGGAGCTTCCTGTCTTCCTTCTTTGTCCTTCTTAAGCTTGTCAACACCATAAATCAAGGCTTGACAAAGAAAGAAATCAGTCTACTGATCCAGTTTTTGCCCTCACCCTTCAAGTCTCTGTGCCCTTTGAGTGTCTCCCCCAGAAATTCTCTGGTTCCCCCAACCTCAGCATGGGTCCCAGCACAACTGAAGAGACCTGGTAAAGATGATGAGCTGAGCATCTCTCCTGGCAACAAGGGCACGCCATGCCACGGGAGGTCTGCTTCCCATGGAGGTGTGCCTGCCAGGGATAGCCCTCCGGCTGCACCACCACAAAGACAAGGCTGTACACACGCAGGCTGGGCTCCAGCAGCTGGCCCACGCCTCCCCAGGAGCAGGACTGGGTAGTTTCTGACATCATCAAATTTAGGGTAACTCTTTCGGTAGTTTGGGATGATTTTATAGGTTTGGCTGTGCTGAATGGCCCCTAAAAAAGCTCTCTTATTGAAAATTCTTCTCCTGTGATTCATGAGTTATGCAGGGGCTCATCAAAAAAAAAAAAAAATAGTCAGTGGGCCATGGGAACATAATGTGCTTTTCAGCTCAATTCTTGTAAGGTTTTTTTAAAAAAAAATAAAAGCAAAACTTACATTAAGACAAAAAAAAGCATAGTATTACTAATCTTTACATTTTCTAAAGTGATAGTGAAAGTAATATCTAAGAGGGTACAAGGGTCTTAAATATCAATATCTACACTCTTTGTCCTTTACTTTTATTCAACGAGAACATTTTAGACTTTCCTTCACATAGATCAGAACTGTCCAATAGGAATATAATGGGAGACACATGTATTTAAAAAATTGTTCTGGTCACTTTAAAAAATTAAGAAGGAATAGTTGAACTTAATTTTAATAATACACTGTATTTAACCCAAAATATCTAAAATATGGTCATTTCAAAATATAATCAATGTAAAAAAAAAAAAAAGATCAATGAGGTATTTTACATTCTTTTTTTCAAACTAAGTCATCAAAATCTGGTGTGGATTTCCCATTACAGTTCATGCTGGTTCAGACCAGCCACGTTTCAAGTGTCAGCAGCCCCATGTGACCAGTGGCTGCCATCCTCAACGGCACATTCAAAGAGAACTTGAAACTATGCCCATCGGGTCACCTGCCTTTCAAACTAAAGACTCCAGCAGATCTAATGCTAAAGGAAGGTTCTTCCCTAGAACCACTCTCTTCATATCCCAGGAATGTCCCCAGACCCTGGCTCAAGGTTTCTGAAGCATTTCCTTTCCATGGTCAGAATCAGAAATAAAAGAAAAAGATAGAGTTCTGTGCACCTGACACTGCCCAGCACAAACTCCATCCCTTCTACTTTTGCTTATGCAGTTAGTTCCACCCGGCCTGCCCTCCTGGCCCACCCATCCTGTGGACCCTGGTCTAATTCCCGAGCTCAAAGTCAGCATCCTCCCACAAGCCTTCCACAGCCCCTCCCAGGTAAGAACACCTCTCCCTTCCTGAACTCCAGAGCAGTTATGTTCAACCTTGTATTCTGGCTGTGTACACACTGGTCTTTTCTCACCAGTGGTCTCTTTCACTAAATCGAAGGACCTTTCTTGGAGATTTCGCTCAGCCCAGGTAGCCCATGACTCTGCGGACCATCCACTCCTTACTGAGCCTCTCTTCCCTGGTTTCCTGGACAACCACACTCTTGGGCAGTCCCTCCTGCTTCACTCTATGTTCCTCTGGGGACCCCCGACTTCTCCTCCTCTCTCCTACCATCCAACGTTGAAGTCCCAAAGGGCACCATCCTGGGTCCTCTCCTCCCCTCCCTCTATGCTTCCCCGGGGTGAAGCCTTCGCAGCCATTCCCAAGGACTCAGTGACGATCCTAAACTCTCTCAAACCTGTACCTCCAGCTCACCAGTGTCCTGAGCTCCCGATCCTGGCACCCAGGTGCCTCCTATACTGATCAACTTTGGTGACCCTCAGGTACCTCCCACACTCATGCAGTGTCAGGATGTGCCAGGCACTGTTCTCAGTGCTTAAGGTTTACTCATTAAACTTGCAACAGCCCATTTTACAGGTGAGGAAACTGAGGCACAGAGAACATACGCAAACTTTGTTCATCAGACCCAGACCCTAAGTCTGGGTCTCCACTGGCACATCCTATCCTGTACAGGGTCCCACCATCCACCCACAACCTCACGTAAGAAACTTGGTGTTCCCCAGTTCCTGCTCACTCACCAATCCCAACAAATCCTATACTTCCTTCTCAGTAGCTCTTGAATCTGTCCACTTCTCCCCATCCTCGCTGCTAACACTTTAGTCCAAGCCACCATCCTCCTCAGCTCGGAGTGCACCAAGAGCCTCCCAATGGTCTACACAGACCTTTTTTTTTTTGCACTGGATTTTAATCTTTAATATCTAACATTACTGCTTTAGGGCATGTTTTCCCTGAACCAGGAACAGAGTGCTAATTACATAAAAATATACACATAGAAAAAGTAGTTCTCCATTTTCCCGGGGAAAAAACAGTAACTTCTAGAATACTCAAGGGTTTAGTTTTAATTATAAAGTCTTGGTCATCTCATTTATTAGCTCTGTGACATACATATTTAAATTAAACATTAGACAACCGTTACAACTTATAAAGGTAAGGTGCCATTACTGAGTAAAGAGATTCTCCTGTGAGTGGATGTGTCCCTTCTCCCACCCTGGGTACCCTGGATGGAGGGACCCTACTTTTTTTTAGGAAAGTAGATTGGATCACCTCAAAACCCTGCTTAACCTCTTCGGTGGCTTTCTATCGCCCTTCGGATCGAATCCAAAATCCTTGGTTATTCTCATCGTGATGGTGCTCCCCCCAAAAGGACCCACAGCTCTTTCTTGAATTGAGACTCGCACATCTGCGGCTGCTTCTGCGGGGGACTCCATGGCCCTCTTCTGCACCTCCATCCACTTATCTAACCATCGCTGCGCTTTCAGATCTCCGTGGAAGTGTCACTGCTTCAGAGGAGCCACCATGACTGCCGGTCTAGAAGAAGGCTCCCTGCTAGACACTCCCACAGCTCCCCAAACATTTCCTTTCAAAACACCCACCACATTATCACTACTGTTCAAGATCGGCCTTCCCGTTCGGCTTCAGGTTCTTGGGGGCAGGAACTACTCCTGTTGGTTCGTCACTAAATCCCTGGCAGCCCCACGGGGCCCAGCACACAGCAGTCTCTCAAGAACTATTCTTCATTTGTTTGATCAATACCTCACGCTAGTCTTCCTGCAGACAAGACGGGTCTGACTCATCCTTTTTTGCCAAAGTACCTTGTAAAAAAAAAAAAAAAAAAAACCCTGCCACTTAAAATGCTCGATAAATACTTGGTGACTAAAAGGGCCAAAGGAAGGAACACCCCTTGACATGTCCTTCTTTCAAAACTCACATGCTCTGCTCAAGAAGATGTCCCTGCCCGGGATTAATGCAAGAAATATATTTTTCATCTTCATTCCCAGCTCCTATCCTAGAGCTCTTAAATCCCTTGGAATTTCATGAATGATAGAAGTGATAGGAATATCTTTTGTTCCTGACACAGAGCTCCTAAATCCCTTGGAATTTCCTGGGTGATAGGAGCCTCTTTTCTCCTAGGGAAGTGACTCTTGGTGGACCCTAGATAGCTTCGAGGTGGAGGTTGGTCGCCAGAAGGATCAGGCCTTGATTAGAAGCCTAGAACATTCACCCTCACTTCCCAAACTCTGGGGAGATAAGGGCTAAAGATCAAGTTAAAAAAATCTATCATGTCGAAACTGCCATAAATGGCCCTAAATGGCAAGGCTCAGAGAGCTTCCGGCTGGGTGGATGCATCCACGGGTTGCGAGGGTGAGGAAACCCAAACTCCACACGGGCAGACTCCTGCGCTCAGGACAGGAGCCTTACCCTTCTGGGTCTAACCCTACGTACACCTTCATCTGGCTGTTCACATGTATTCTTTAGAATATCCTTTATAATAAACTGGTAATAGTAAATAAAGTGTTTCCCTGACTTCTGTGAGCGATCGGTTCCAGCAAATTATCAAACCCGAGGAGGGGATGGTGGGAACCCCCGATTTGCAGCCACATTGGACAGAAGTGTCGGGGAGCTGGGACCCACCACCTGTGGTGGGTGTCTGAAGTTGGGGGCTGTCTCGTGGATCTGAGCCCTTAACCTGAGGGGTCTGCGCTAACTCTGGGTAGTAAATGTCAGAATTGAGTTAAATCGTAGGACGCCCAGTTGATGTCTATATAAAATTGGAGAACTGCTTGGTGTGGGAAAACCCACATATTTGGCGTCAGCAGTATTCTGCATAAAAAACAGATCTTGCAGGACTAACACGGATCAGGCTCCGAAGGCTATTCTACGCTAGTAAAGGCTTTGTTCTCTCCCACCTCCGGCCCCACCCTGAGGAAAGGCATGAATCAGGACCGTGAGTTTTCCTGAAGCTGATATGATGAGGAAGGCGGATCACTGTTTCTTATCACGTGCATGGTCCCATCTTATAGTGGTCCTGTGATTTGAAGAGCTGAATCGCCTTAATCAGATACATCCGTGACCGAATCCAAGTATGAAACCCCGTTCCCAATCACACTGCCTTGTTTCTCTACAGGCCAGCCATGAGAATGAGTAACCAGGAATTAATGGTAGATGACCCTGTGCTTACTACCCTCTGCCAGGGTTCAGGCCCGAGTCCTGGGCAGGGGTCCTGCTCCCCAGTCCGGGACTTTCTTTGGTGTGCAGGCTTTGTCTCACCATCAGACCTCCCAAGGGAGGAATCATGCTTCTTTCCTGTTCTGTCTCCTTGCGGTCAGAGTATGACATGTCACACACAGGGTGCTGCTGTGGTCTGAATGGGTATCACAAAGGGTCAGGAAGAGCTGCTACCAGTATAAACGAGAGAGCTTCTGTCTTCCCCAGGCTAGACATGGGATGTCATCATCCCAGACCCTACCCACGTTCCAGGTGTGATACAGGCATCTCTACCTTCCTGTTTCTGGTTAATCATCCCCTGTTCTGAGACTTGTGGTTGCCAAGGGGGAGGCGGGTGGGGGAGGGATGGAGTGGGAGGTTGGGATGAGCAGATGTAAGCTATTATGTATAGAACGGATAAACAAGGTCCTACTGTAGAGCACAGAGAACCATATTCAATATCCTATGACAAACCATAATGGAAAAGAATATAAAAAATGTACACATATGTATGACTGAATCACTTAGCTGTATAGCAGAAATTAACACAACACTGTAAATCAACTATACTTCAATGAAAAGAAGAAAATCATCCCCTGTTCTGAGGTACCCAGTGTCCACCTGGGTACCAGAATTCCACCCTGTCTCTTCTTTCTGTGCTCGAGATAAAAGGATCCCAGGGAAATTCCAGCGAGCAGAAGAGAAAAAGGTGACAAGTGCTCTGATGTTCTCTGAGGCCCCTCACTGCCTGATTTCACACAGGCGTGGACCTGCTCCTCTCATGGGAGCCTGCTGCTACCCCGCGAGGTCTAAAATCCAGTGGAGATATGACGGCGGTCCACCTTTCATGGTGCCCACCCCAGCGAGTAACTCTGTTTCTCCCCCATAGCTGAAATGTCCTCGGGGCTCACCTCAGCCCCAAGCAGAGTTTCAGGAGGTGAAGATGCCGGCACACGGGCCCTTGCCCTCTGTCTGGCTCTGCCTGCTCTAGCCGTGGCCCTCCCCATTGCCAACCCCCCTCCCTTCCCACCCCCTCACTCACCACCAGCTCTGCAAAGCGGACGTTCAGCTCCTCTGGGTTGGGGATGGGACTGGAGAACTCCATGTACTGCAGGGGGTGGCTGTCCCGGAGGTTGATCTCAGGGAGGTCGCTGCCTCCAAAGCAGCACAGGAAGCCCAGGCCATGGCGGCTCCTCTTGCGGGGGGCCATGGTCACTTCCAGCTGGGGGGACAGTCCGCAGGCAGATGCCCTAGGTCCTCATGGTGACCTGGGTAGAACAGAAAGCACAGAGTGGTCAGGCACGGCGGCCAGGTAGACGGGGATGCGGCCACTCTGCCACCAGGACTTCGTTGCCCAACTGTCAGGAGCCTTCAACCCAACAGCCAAGCCCCTTCCTTCTCCCACAGCCATGAACACTTTCAGATTCTCCCTCTGTGCCCCTAGAGAAGACAGGAGGGCTGTCGTCACAGAACGTGACTTCCAGGAGGTCAGAGCTGGCACTCAGCCTACACTCTCTCTGACTGTACAGACGGGAACACTGTTCCCTGTCCTCTGGTCCCCTGCAGTCCAGTTTCCAGCAGGGATCCCTTACTCACTTGATTCACTCCAGGGTCTGGGGACACCCGCTTTAAAGGCGTCATCCAATGGGGAGAGAAGGGCTGACGTCGGCTGGCAGGGGAGACACCGAGCTAATCACATGGCATGGCTCCTGGAGTGGGGGCCTCCGTGGGAGCAGAGGATGGAAGGCTTGCACAGCTTTCTGCCCAGTCTGTTGCAGCCAGGCATGTTTGGATGGATGTGAAATATCAACAGGGCGTGGGTTCACCCACCCATCCAGAAGGAGGGGTGAGCTGGGGGAGCCATTAGAGTGAACCCTCAGTAAGGAAATGGGGCTGATCATTGGAACGGTGTTCAGCCAAGAGTGAAGGGAATCTGGTCAAATCTGCTTTCCATACCGACCAAGAACAGAGGACATCACTATGGCCAGAGATCAGAACTGAGGGCCACCCAACAGTTGGGTGGTTGTTGGAACAGAAAGGGTTAAGTCTTTGCCACTGGGAGAGCCTAGTTCTATGGTGACCAGCATGAGGCTGAACGCTGGCCCTAGTCATTGATGTCACACAGCTACCAGGTAGGTTAAGCCCAATTATCTGCACATGCGCTTCCTGAAAGGGCCAAATGACCCCTGACCAATGGTTCCTAAACATGGTTTCAGATCTGGGCGGGTTCACTAGAGAGACCATTGCTTATCCACCACCCTGCTGCCCAGCCATATTCTCCTCATATTAATATATCCTAATTTTTTGAATATAAATAAGATTCTGCCTTCATCCTTATTGAATATTACATCACAGGTTTAGGGTCAAGATTTTTTTTAATTGTGGCAAAATACATAGAACATAAAATTTACCATTTTACCATTTGTATGTGTGCAGTTCAGTGGCACTAAATACATTCACATTGCTGTGTAACCATCACCACCATCCACTTCCCGAACTTTTTTCCATCTTGTAAAACAGAAACTCTGTATTCACTAAACAATAATTTCCCATTTCCCTCTCCCCCCAGCCCCTGGCAACCACCATTCTACTTTCCGTCCCTGTGAATTTGTCTACTCTAAGTACCTCCTGTGAGTAGAATCCTACAGCATTTATCCTGGCGTATTTCACTTGGCATCATGTCCTCAAGGTTCATACTTGTTGTAGCAGAATATCCCGTCTTTTTAAGGCTGAATAATATTCCACTGTATGCATATACCACACTTGGCTTATCCACTCATCTCTTGACAGACACTTGGGTTGCTATCTCCTTTTGGCTATTGTGAATGACGCTGCTATGAACGTGTACAGCTATCTTTCCATGTCCCTGCTTTCAGTGCTTTGAGGTAATACACCCAAAGGGGTCAAGGTATTTTTGAGTCATGATTCTTAGCTGTTTCTCCTAGATTTGGGTCATTAACAGAATGATCAAAATGTCTCCATGGTCTGTACTTACACTGTTGCTAAAAATGTTGACCACAGCAAGGATAGCGACAGGCCCAGATGACGCAGCTACTTTGTCTGGGAATGCCAAAGAAGTAGTCATTAACAGTCTCTGAACCCATGAACCCATGTGTTTATCTAGCCCTCATTTCTTTTTTTTTTTTTTTTTTTTTGCGGTATGCAGGCCTCTCACTGTTGTGGCCTCTCCCGTTACGGAGCACAGGCTCCGGACACGCAGGCTCAGCGGCCATGGCTCATGGGCCCAGCCGCTCCGCGGCACGTGGGATCCTCCCAGACTGGGGCACAAACCCATGTCCCCTGCATCGGCAGGTGGACTCTCAACCACTGCGCCACCAGGGAAGCCCTAGCCCTCATTTCCTAAAGACACCCCAGGAGACTGTTTCCTAAGTCCTTGTGCACCTCCAAAAACGCCAAATCCAAGGCATTCCCTTGAACCAAGTTCTAGAACCTTAACAAAAAAAAGATAAATGTGGCGTAACTTGTTCCTAGTGAACCCAAGGTTACTCAAGGAGAACACTGCTTTATTTCCTAAGCCCTAACAATCTAGCTAATAAATTAGCCGTCTGAGCTGGCCTCTCCTATAAGACATGATGCATTTTAATCATCACTCAAGAGTTTTTTTACTGGCTCCACTTTTTCTTTCTTTATAAACTTTGTGATATTTTTAAAAAAATGTTTGCTAGCATTTATTAAATGTATCTGAACACAGAACTTTCAAAACATTTTCTACAGAATTATTTTCTACCAAAGATATTTTAAGAAATATTGCCCTATACAATCCAAGAATTACACATCTTTTCTACAATATATACAAACCTCAGGTTATCCATGCAAAGGGATTGATCCTTCCTTCCCTTTATCTATCTATCTATTAAATTAGGAGTTTGGGATTAACATATACACACTACTATATATAAAATAGATAGCCAACAAGGACAGACTGTAGAGCACTGGGAACTATACACAACATTTTGTAATAACCTATAAGGGAAAAGAATCTGAAAAAAAATAGCTATTTATGTATGTGTAACTGAATCACTTTGCTGTACACCTGAAACTAACAGCACATTGTAAATCAACTGTACTTCAATTAAAAACAAGACTTTTTTAATAGACCCAGGAATACCCAACATAACACACTATCCAAGGTTGCCTTGTATTACTGGTCATCTTTTCTGGGTTTACGTATTGCCTCTCCACAGCTACAGTGAAGGCTTCTTGAGGGCAGGGGCCATGCCTCCTGCTTCTTTGACATCTCCCCCCTTTATGGCTAATAAAATGCCTTGTGCTTAGTGGGAGCTCAGTAAATGTTTTTTGGTCAATTGGCAGACAACCTGTGCTCATGGAAAAGGAGAAGAGGGGTCTTTATCAATCAGTCCAGAAATACTGATTGAAATCTCTGATTCCTAGTAGTTAAGCTATCAGGAACCCTTGAATGGAACAAGGCGACAGTCTCGAGGCTGCGGGTAGAGGAAGCAGCCGGCAGACAAGCGCAGAATCCTGGTTTAGGTTGACAAAGGCCTGCAATAGGCTGGCGGCTGAGGAATCAGGGAGGAAGGGAGACGTTAAAGCTCTCCAGGGAACTTGATAGCCAATGGGCAAAAAAAAAAAAAAAAGTGGGTGGGACGAAACCCTGGCATCCCGCTGTCAGGCTCAGTAAAGCACTAATTCTGTAGGTAGATAGGGGTGGACTCCCCTGGGTCCTCTGCCCATCGTCAGTTTAGGATGACGATGCAGAGTCCAGACAAGGTCCCCTTGGTTCCATCAGCCTCCAAAATGCAGCTGCAGCTGGCGGGCAAGACTGCTTTGTTGAGGGCACAAGCATGGGAGGGCAGGTCCTGAGGCGTGGTGAGGCTGGGTGGACTGCATGATGGGGCTCTGCGGCGGGATGGGCTGACGTCTGGGAGGACCTGTGAACTCTCTTCTGCCTTCACTTCCTCGACTTCTCGCTCCCTCACCCTCCCTCCTTGCCCTTCTTTGCCTTCAGCCCCTGAGCCAGGCTTTACCAAGGGCAGTCAGGGCGGGGGCCGGGGGCTGGCATACAGCTGGACTACTCCGTTAGTTTTACACTAGCTGTTCACAGCTCTGACTGCTCTGATTGGTTGGTGCCAGGCCATAACTGTCTTTACATATTTTTAAGGTATCCCCTGAGTACAAGAAATGAGGTGGAGTGGCCTCAGGAGGAGGGAAGGAGGAAGAAGTAGACACAGACCCTCCAAACAGGAAGTGCCATCCCCACAGAGAAGGGCCCTAACTGCACCCCACCCCGGGAGCACCACATACTTGCCCTTTTAAGGGTGGGCTGCTCACAGCTCCTCAGTGTGTTTATGTTCCTGAGGATGCCCTCCTCCCCAGGAAACCCTCTTAAGCCTGTCCCTTCCTCCCTTTCTTGGGGCCCCTTCTGAAGATCCAAGGCTAAAACCCCAGGCCCTCAGCTGGAAAGCATCCAGCTTCACAGTAGAGATCTGAAAATTGAGGTCCAAGGAGGAAACGTCTTATCTGAGGTCACACAGCTATGGGGACAGAGCTGGGGTTGAAACCCAGGACTCCAGCATTCAGACTGTGGTCTGGTCACTACCCTCACCAGAGCTCCTCCTTCCATGTTAATGCCCCTTGTCCCCATCTTGCCCCAGCCCCCCCTGCAGCCTTCCCCCACCAGAGAAGACTGGACTCTACAGCTCAGTTTAGAAACAGCTCCGGGAAATTCCCCAGTGGTCCAGTGGTTAGGACTCAGCACTTTCACTGCCAGGCCCCGGGTTCGATCCCTGGTTAGGGAACTAAGATCCCGCGAGCCACATGGTATGGCCAAAAAATAAAAAACAAAATAGTATTAAAAAAAAAAAAAAGAAATGTTTTTTTTTTAAAAAAACAAATAGCTCCAATAAACAAGGTTCCCCGTAGACCAGGAGAGGGTTATGGAGATTCCAAAGGCCGCCTGCTTCTCCTCCACTGGGAGGAGCTATCTCCATCTCCCACCGCCCCGATTTCTCTCCTGCTCTAACCCCTGCTCTAACCCCCCTTCACTCCAGCAGAGGCTTTGAAGTCAGAGGGACTAGGATGTGACTCCTGGCTTTGCCTTCCCATCTGGGTAACCCTGAGCAGGAGGTCTTAACCTCTGAGAACCCCAGGTTCCTCATCTGTGACACCAAGGCAACAATAGCATTTTCCTCACTGGGTTTTGGTGAAGAATAAACGATATAATGTAAGTAAAATGCCAGGAGCACCACAGGCGTTCAATAAAGAAAGCCAGCACTGCTGCTGTGGC